CACCCCCACTGTATGCCATATTCGAGCACTTCCACAGCACACACCTCACCTTTTTCTACCTTTGTGTCTGTCTCTTTTACATCTTTGAATCTCTCTTCTGCTCCCCTTCTCCAATTTTTCTCACTTTGATGTTCCTTTCCCTCGGTGAAGCCCGAAGTCAACTAAAGGGCTAATGATAACCATCAAAACGCTTGCCATTTGATATAAATAAATAAATAGTTTTGTAGCAATTTCTATTAGCAAAGTACCAACTTCCACATCCTAACTCCCTGGTGATTTGAGTATGCCGCTTTTAAAACTGCATTATTTTCCAGCCAAGGAGTGCTTTTAACTTAACACTAATTCCCCCAGGTGATTTTCACGAAGCTTTCCAGCAATACCCACGTAGGAATTTTGGGGGAATTCAGCATACATAGAATGAAAGATTCAATTTTCCCAAGTAGAATATTGAATATAATACTAATCGTTAGCATTTTGATTTGAGTGATAATCATTGTGTACTTTTAGTTCTTAACAAGGTGTTGGGGAAAAACAGTGGCCAAGTGAATGTAACATGATGAACAGTGCTTAGTTTAGCCTCGACTCATTACTAGAGGTCAGAAGTGACACGGAACGGTGATTAGCATTTTGATTTGAGTGATAATCATTGTGTACTTTTAGTTCTTAACAAGGTGTTGGGGAAAAACAGTGGCCAAGTGAATGTAACATGATGAACAGTGCTTAGTTTAGCCTCGACTCATTACTAGAGGTCAAAAGTGACACGGAACGGTGATTAATATATGCTACTTTCTTAATCACTTGCAACGCTTAGCTCCAACCTCTCCTATCATAATAACAAATCCGTCAATTAACACAAATAAGGAGGGGGGAGGGGGGGGGGTTGAGCATAGCTACCATGGAAGAATTTTGTAGGGTGGTAAGGGGACTAAGACCACATGAAAATGAAATTTAATTTGTAACTTTATAACGGGACTTTTAGCCCACCACTGTTTCATGGATTTTTAATGGCATCCAATTGTTTTAACCCAATTTAGAAACCACCCCAAGCGGGATTTGATATCCCACCTATAGCTGATGCTCGCCATTGAAACTAGCTGGGTGCTGGCAGTTTTTTTGGGTAATTGTGCATGGAGAAAGGCGTTGGAAAAGGAATTTCAAGGAAGGGAAAAAGCCATGGACAGTCGGGTCTATGAGAAAGAGGCGAAATAAGAGGCGTCATTGCTCATGTCTGATTTTGCCTAGCGTGAGTCATTTGTAGTCTCCTGCCTTTTCTGAAAACTCTCTCATATAATTGGCTGCTATATATATTTCACTGTTATTCGTTTGGATCTCCCGTGAGATGGAGATTCGCTCTTTAAAAGGCGGTAATTGGGATCATCGATTCTTATAACCATGAAATTCTTGGTGTTTTAATCTATTCCAACTTTAAAATGATTAGCAACACTTCCGATTGATCTAAATCAAATTAATTCGCATTTACTCGCAAAAGTAGTCCAGGTAAATCTCACACTTCTTCGAGGCAGTTAAAAGTTAAAAGTTTATGAAGCGACATTTGATTAACTGTCAAAATGTCATGACTTCTTCCACTGAGCCTGAGTGAATTGCAGAAAGCAATTTTTTTGTGAGATTGGAGGGGGGGGGGAAGAAAGTGGAGTTATCATACCAGCAGAACTAGAACTCCTAGAAATACTGCAACATTGAAGAGTCGTGTAAGATAGAGAAAAAAACGCCAAGCTACCTCTTCAAATGACATTGGCCTACCACAGCTTTGTTCTAAGATAAACCTTTACATGGCGTTGAAGAGGCTTTAAGTCGTATATTACTTGCAACTCGATGTACTATTGGTTAAAGACTGATATCAAGGCAGATTTAATTATAATTTGATAATCTTTCATTTTCACTCTCCGTCAGCCACGTATTTCAGAACTGTGTAGTGACCAATTTCCCTAACCAATAATGGCTTCCTACTCAAAAGAGGAGTTGTGGTATTTTAATATCCAACTTTTCAAGTCAAAAGTGCTGTTTTTAACTCGACGTGACTATAGAATTCTGCACTTAGCACACTGTATATGGTTTCGTGAATGGTAACAAATCAAAGCTGGAGAAATGCAAAAGAGCCAGCCGAGGGTGATTTCTTGTCGAAAAGAAAGCAATGCTCATGCATTCTTAACAGGATCACTTTTACTAGAACAAAAAATGAGGGGTGTGCAATAGACTTACCTCCGCGTGGTGCATCCTGGGCAACGTATACTCATACGGCAGTTGACTTCTCTCTTCAAATTACCATGACCCCCAATGTATGTCATATTCGACCACTTCCACAGTATTCACCTTGTCTTTTCTTTGCATTTGTATCTGTCTGTCTCTTTCACATCTGTAAATCATTATTCTGTCCCCCCTCTCGACATTTTGCCATTTTGATGTTCCTCCTTCTCTCTGTGAAGCCCGAAGTCAGCAAATAGGCTAATGATAAATATCAAAATGACTGCCATTTGAAATAAATAAGATCAACAAGGAACCGATTTCACAAAACTCTGCGTAAAGGGTCTGATGCTTGGGAAAGTGTTAGTACTCGAGCCAACTTAACCCAATTCAACGAACCTCTTCTAACTAATATTGATATCAAATGGCAGACTTTGTGATAGTTAATAATAGCCCTTTGGTTGACTTTGGGCTTCACAGAGGGAGGAACATCAAAGTCACAAAAGTCGAACGGAGGAGCAGAAGGCTGATTCATAGATGTAAAAGAGACAAACACAAAGGCATGGAAAAAGGAGAGGTGAGTACTGTGAAAGTGGTGAAATAGGAAATACAGTAGGGTCATGGCAGTTTAAAGTCACCTGTCGGTTTATAGACTTTTCAGTCGTATGAGCATGCGTCGCCCAGGGTGCACCACGTAAAGGTAAATCTATCGCGCAACCCCCCCCCCCCCCCCTTCCAACTAATATTACCACTACGAACCACTGTAAGGGAAAGTATAATACTTTTGGGTAGGTTTCTCCTGGATATCCAGATGATTGCAAGACTTCTCTTAATCATATTGTAGTCTAATTGTCTTCATTAAAGATAGGATCATTATTAACTGAAATTTCTAAGTACCCTTAATTGTGGAATTCGTAATTTCTTGTAACACAACGCTATCTAATATATTACCTTATCAATACAATAAACCCACTTCCCCATGGCAAGTAAAAAGGCTAAATTGTACCAACCACTGCTTTAATAGTAAGATCATAATATTTATACAAAATGCGGAGGGATAGCATTTCATTGACTAGTAATATCATTACTATTACTTATTAAAGAATGTATTAGTTGTGTTATAGTCCTGTTACTTCTACCTGTTCGCCTAATTTGATGAACATAATCTTCAGTTTGATGGGGGAAATCATAGTTATCAATATATTGAATAACGGTAATATCTACAAAACAAGAAAATCGCGAGTAAAATAAGAAAAAGAAATAAGGACACAGTTGAAAATAAGGTAGCTTTCCATAATTGAATAGGGAAACGTTTTGAGACTTTTCACCGACCCACCAAAGACTACAAAGAAGGGCAGATAACCCTTTAATCAGATCAGAGATGGCGCGGGGTGGAATCAATTGTATTCTGCCTCGGGGAATGCACTATGGGAGAGCAGTTATTGGGATGGAGACCACTTCTGTGCCACTACCTAGCCCTTTGATCGATAACAAAGCGGAAAAGGAATTTGCCCAGCTTGGGAAATAGGAAAAAGTGGGAATATTCATCGCGATACCTCATGAGTATCACAGGAGGCCAAAATCAATACATCAGTGGGCTCACGTAAGAAGTCCACACAAAGTCATGGGGTTTGGCGCTTTGAATGACCTGTTAAGTATTCTATAAAATATGATCGCAGTGATATATTCGAAAATAAAAACACAATAAAGTGCAATATTTTATTATTTGTCAATTTAGTAACTTACCATGTCCTCTAGTAGCTATATCCGAAGCCACTAATGTTGGTAATCTAGAGAAAGAGGCATATAATAAATAGTTGATTATGGGTAAATAAAAAAAAATTATTTAAACATTGCCTACAATCAGCTGCCTACTCTTAACTAAGATTGGGATATGACCACCCAAGGAACTAAATCAATCCATCAACGAACTCAACATAATCCCATTCATGAATCTGGGAGTTAAACGGCATTTCATCATTTCTCAAGCCTTTTAACTTGTGATATCATGGCTTTATTACCCATTTTGGACCTTGCTTTCTAAAGTCGTCTGCTGTTCTCTTTAACCAAATACCTTTTAATAGTTAAAACTTCGTAGAAGCTTAAAAAAGCAATCATTTAGTTCAAGTGATAAATGTAGAGCTTGATGATATCCGACAGATTCGAACCGAAAATGCTTTTAAACCACATAATGAGTAAACTAAAGTGAGGTAGAAGTAGACATCTGAGAGAATTTACAGCTGAAACAAAACTGTGTTTTAGTCCTAAAAGCAAAGTCTAAATACCATCAACAATATACTACATCATATGCCCGAAACGACCTACCACTGGCCTACTTTAATTTCAAACTATGAGCAATATGTCTTCAATATAGCCTGAACAAAAACTGATATATATATATATATATTGTATAATTTATGCATTTGTATACGATTCCAAATTGTATCAAGCACTAGTCTTCCTGCTTTTAAACCAGAGTATTAAAGTAAGAGCATAAACCAGTTCCATGATGTGATGGTGGTTAATATGGTCGTCTCCGAGGTAAGTTGCTACGAATTTAATGCCCACCCGTGCACACCAGTGGACGGAATGACCAAAGTCGATAGTTAAGTCTCGTTAATTAAAAATAATAGCATAATTCTACTTTCTAACCTATAAGGCTCCATAATGTGACAACTCTAGTTAAGATAAGTGATGGAAAAAGTGCTCCTAAATATGCATAGAAATGTATCCAACTAGGCTGCCTAAGACTCTATTACCAATGCCTTTATTCCACAGCCTTTTTAAATCTAAATGCCTCAATAGAAAAGAGCCTTACCTGCAAGAATAGCCCCGCATTCATATTGTTGCATGTTTCCATGCATAGCTGCAACATCGAAACAGCGAGCTTTTAATCGATGAAGCAACACTTCGGTTTTCTTACGAGTCTTAACAAAGTTCGCTAAAAGTATTACGAGATGATTAAATCACCGAAGACTTCAACATACTGTTTGATGATTTGGTTGACAAGAATATCTTCAGAGCCGACGTTTATCTGGGTAAATTTGCCGAGAAATTCCTTCGCAAGCGAGCGGACTTCTTTCGGCCATGTTGCCAACCACATAAGTGTCTGACGATCAGGACGAATTTGTGGACAATATATCAAAGAACGGGATCAAAACCATATCCGACATCCTACCGGGCTCACCAAAAACTAACTAAGTAGTGTGGCGAAGGTGGACATAACCAGATTCCAAGAAATCCAGTAATCTACCAGGGGTTGCTATAACAAACTCAGGAGTAAATCTTAGCTCACGCACCTATCCCAGTTTACTAGCTCCGCTATGGAGGCAGGCAACTCGGAAAATGCAGTTTAAACGAAAATGCTTAGGGAAGAATTCAACTTTTTGGGCTAATTCTTTAGTTGTAACGATGACAAGAGCAATTGAACCATTACGGGGCTCCATTGAATATCGAGCTTTGACAGGAACTATAGGTGTCTTTCCGGAACCAGTTTTTGCAATACCAAAAAATATTTAAATCTAAAAGAGCCTAAGGTCAACCTAGAGACTGAATGGGAGTTTGAGTTCTTCACTTATTTTTTTCCACTATTTCATATATGCTGTGAGGAAAACCAGTCTCAATAAAAGTCCAAACGGGTTTTGGGATATTTTCCCCATCAAAAGTAATATCAGCTTTCTTCAAACATTGTTCAATTTCCTTTGTGATTCGATTGTTAACGGCAACACATTCATAATAGAATTTTCTCAACTTCACAAGATTCTAGTGGCTCCAATCAATATGTACCAACTTAGACCCGGTAGATTCCCTATCTTCCCTAAAATTAAATTACAAAAGGCAGCATTAAATTTCATTTAACACGAGACCGAGAAACATCACCCATACTTCGGAAAGAGCAACCTAAAGTAGCACTAATAAAAAGATTATTTCGAACGAATTTTTTTCAAGTTCACTGATGTCCTTAATAAACAAACTAGCGCAGCATAACTTTTCTATGTAATAACAAATTAAGAGAAATTATGGACACTGCATATCAAAGATGAATTAAATATGTTTAGCAATTTAGCTATTATTATTTGCATTTAGTAATCGCAGATTACGCAAGTGAATAAAACTTACCTTCGTTATGATTCGTTTGCTAATTGTTAAAAGTTAATTCATTGATATTCTCTCGGTCACTTTAATTGAATACTCAGCTTATTTGTTGTAAAAAGATGTGTGTAGTATAGCTAATTGTTGGAAAAAAATGTTGGTTAATATGGTTTAAAGCACTTGGAGTATCTCAAAAATGCTCTCTTATATATATCTTTTAAGATATACGTATCAAGATTTCAAAGAACTAGACATGACGACCATTTGCTGCTGTCACAATTCCAATGTTTTTAACTTTCCGCTAAGGAAAAAATCACTGTAATTGTTACGATTACTGGGTATCTAAACGACACAGATCACACCATTATAGCTGTAGAAAACCAGATTTAAAGAATCTTCTAATTATAAAGAACTAGTTGAAAATGGACACATTGGTCCTAATTACTTGACAAGCATTAGACATTTTTGAATGATTGTTTTTTCTGGATTTAAATTTAAAGAAGTTTAAGTAATAGTGATCGAATTGCCAAATAGACAGTTTATCGATGCTTGATATAAAAATACTTTGTATATTCGGAAATTATCGAAGCTCAATAAGAACACCCACTCAGCGCACTTTGACCACAATTTTTAGATATGCATGAAAGCGCTCTTTGAATGAGCCTTTGCACAACTCATACACCTATATTTTGTTGGGTAACGGTTGATATTAGGAGTGAAAAATACATAATTAGGCTCTGGCCAAGTATTGACAAACCTCAATCAAGTTCAGTTATCCAAACCAGCCCCTGGCAGGATCCTTTGATTAAAGAGATATAACATCAGTCAAAATTCATTGTGTTAGAGGGAGGGGGGAGGAGCACAACTAAAAGTAAAGAGCTTTTATTGCTATCTCGTTCCCAAATTTGGACACTACTATGAAGCATCGTCACGTATCTATACTTGAACGGACTAAGAATCCTTTCTCAGTCCTGTCGAATTTTCAACGAGTTAGTGTAGTAAGAAAATGGGGCTATTTTGAATTTGGCAAAGCTTCTATAATAGAATAATGGGAAACCGGGTGACTTAAAGCTCATACTGCTTAGAGAATACTTGGCGAAGGCTGGTAATGAAGTACCAGTTGTGGGATGCTTAATGTTTATTACTTCAAACCGAAAAGAATTTGATCCACAATGACATTATAAGAAGTTCCTTGAATTGGTCCAACATGACTGAGTCCGGTGAGAGAGGTGAATGAGTTAATATGAAAAATGCCAGTTGTTTTATAAGGCTGGTTGGTCAAGAAAAGAAACTAAATAATGAAATACTGTTCAAAATAATTAATTTCAAATTAAATAATGTTATAAACCGTTCTAAATAACTGCATTCACTATAAAACTCGCGTTTACCTGTATTTTGTTTAGACAAATAACGAGTGCTTAATCATCGAGCGTCACGAACTCCCATTAAATTTGCTTAAGACAAATTTTGTACTTAATTTTTAAATAGTCATGTCAGGGTTATTTTTCTCCGATAATCCAGAAAGGCCAGAAGTCTCCGATTTTTTTTGTGGAGTTGTTGAAGGTAAATCAATATTTACTTTGTGTTCTACTAATTATATTATGACTATTATCTATTTGTATGTTTTACAAGTTCATTGGAATCTTGTTTTCATTGTTATTTTTTAGGCTTTTATGGCCGGCCCTGGACGTATTCTCAACGTCGTGAGTTATTCAAACGGTAGTATATTTTTATCATTGATGATTTATTATTACTGTTTAATCTCTCGATTTTAACTGATCCAATGATTTCTTTAGTATGCAATCGATGGGTTTGAATGCTTATCTCTACGCTCCCAAGGATGAAGCCAAGCACCGCCTCTCTTGGCGTCAACCTTACAATGAAAAAGAAGCCGAAAATATGAAATCGCTAATTGCTGCAGCTAGGGATCATAATATCTGTTTCATTTTTGCCATATCGCCTGGGAACGATATATCTTTCTCTGATGAGGCGGATGCTAAAGCTCTACAAGCTCGTCTTGAACAGGTATTTTCCTCATCTATTTCGAGTATGTTTTTTACTTTCGATATTTGCAGGCTACGTCCTCCATATCGGCTTTATTAAGATTTTAAATGGTGTATTTTCATATCCACCCAATTTCAGTCGAAAGAAGCTTATATCCTGATTTAATTGTGGTGCCTATTTGGTCTTCATAGTTTTTAGCCCTTGTTTGTACTTTTTGAACTAATAAGTGGTTCACTTTATTTAAAATGCCTTCTGGCCTATTTTGATTCCAAATTAGTAGTAATATTTTAACTTCTAAAACTGTTGTGATCGTTTCAGTGGTCTCTTTTACTTTTCCGTAAAGTTCCATTAGCCAGTGTATTATTGTCTCATTGTCCATGTCTAATATTTCTTATACGTCAATATTCAAGGAAATTTCGGAATTCCTATAAGAAAAATGCTATAAAACGATACATCTTTCTCTGGTGAGGTGGATGCTAAACTTCTACAAGCTCGTCTTGAACAGGTATTTTCCTCATTTATCCCATCGTCCATATCTAATATTTCGTGTCGGCATTCCTTTAAAAAATGGTATAAAATACGCCCATTGGCTCGTAAAAACTATACTGATGCATATTATTAGACTCTTACAGTTTAATTTCCCTATTGAACAGTGCGTCTGGGCTTTGTCGTTGCTGGTTGTAGATTGATCGCTATCATTAAAGAGAATTGTTCCTGCTATCCACTCCGCTAAAACTACATACCAAAAGCCTATTTTTGAGTCATGTGGAGATCCATCAGAGTTCACATAGCCGCTAAGGTGGAACTATCTTTGGTC